GTTGTCTTTCAATTTCATAGTCCGCTGGCCCAGATGCGTTACACCGTGTCATGGAGAGGTTTGTTTTTTTTAAAGGACAAAGTTCAACAGCCTGAGGCATTTCCTCCAGGTTCATACCCCACAAACCAATTAGATAGGTGACGTAGACATTTTGAGTAACACAATAGAGCGGTGTATCCACATAGCGGACCATCTGCCGGTGCCCCGCGTCCGTAAATTCTCATCAAACAGGCACGCTTTACCGTATGCTATNTCATCTTTTAGGACGTTCGCGGTCCTTTTCTAGGTAAAATTTGACGGGTCGATAGAAGATGACTTCATCCGAATTTGCAATTTATGCAAAGCAAGGATCCGAGAGTTCCAGAGAAACTAACAGAACGGCATTTTAGCCAGGGTACGGGTAAACCGGTCAGTCCTGTACAAATTTATGCGATGAAACCGGCAGACCAACCCATTCGCCCTTGCCCTATCTAAACCTGACGGTACCCCAGCCACTTCAACTGCAGAAGTGACTGAAATGTTCCGGTCCCATTTCGACCAAATCTTTAACATACCACCTCCAATCAGTCATCCTAATCTTCATTTCCTAACCCATCAATCCCCGTTAGATCACTATGCCATGGCAGTCTCAGAAGTGAAAGAACAACTAAAACGCGTGAACTCCTTCAGCTCCATAGGTCCAGATGAAATTCATCCCCGTATGCTGAAAGAATCCGCGGACGTGTTGGCTGCTACACATGCCCATCTCTTCCAAAAGTGCCTAGACACAGGAACCTTACCAAAACAGTGGATGAGAACATCTGTTATCCCTATCTATAAGAAAGACAATCGCCACTTACCCACTAGTTATAGGCTCATCAGCCTAAACAGCACTCTCAGTAAGATCGTCGAGCGCCTCCTTAAAGGGCGTATTCTAAGACATGTAGCTGAGAACGGCTTGGTACACGCTTGCTAACACGGCTTTCTACCAAACAGGTCATGCATCTCCAATATGCTGACCGTAATAGATAGCTTAACCCGCGCCTATAACGAAGGTCATATTTCGCACGCGATCCTCATAGAGTTTGCCAAAGCCTTCGAAAAAGTGTCACATATTCCTCTCCTGTACAAACTAGAGAGTTATGACATCACTGATTGATTGCTTTCCCTGCTTACTAGTTTTCTGTCGAACCGCATCTTCGCGGTTTGAATGGGCACATCCATTTCCTCACCCTCCCCTGTCTCAATAAGAGTCCCACAAGGCTCCGCACCAGGTACTATCCTATTTCTAATCTATATTACTGATTTCTCTAAACGTCTCCCCATAGGGATTGCCATGTACACGGATTGTCACTATTTTGGGCACAGACGCATCCCAAGTGCAGTCGGTGATTGCCCAAACAAAAAATTGGTCAGTCGACTCCAGCTTACCAATTAATGAAGTAAAATGTGCAAGCATGTCCTTTGGTAACGCTCGTGGTCAACCTTTCTGGGTAAACGGTTCAACCCGAATTCAGCACAAAATGCTTGGTTTGTGGCTGAATAGCAATCCCTCCTTTTCTTCCCATAACCAAAAAGTCAGTAAAACCGCTCTTTCTATTGTAAACCTTATCAAACGATCTTTCCCGCGTATAACCAAAGAGGACTTCCCTTTCCTCTTTGGAACATACATGCGCTCGCTTTTAGAATATGACAGCCAAATTGCATATTCTGGCGATTCACTAGAGCGTATGCAGCGAAGGGCTACTAAACTAGTACATGGCTTGTCAGAAATCCCTTACCTTACCCGACTAAAACAACTAAATCTATATCCCCTAGATATATGACGTATCAGAGGGGTTCTCTTTCTTCTATATGACCTCTTCTCGTCAGGCCAAGTTGACCGTTTCTTCACACGCTATTACCTGGAACACTTAAGGGGACACCCAAGAAAACTTTTCAAACACCGGCCCAAAACCTTCATTCGCTCCAACTTCTTCACGTACAGGGTCATCTCAGAATGGAACAAAATTCCACTGGAGATTGTGAACTCCTCGTCCAAGAGGGTCTTCAAAACCGTGCTAGGCTCACGCCCAGGGCTTACCATACCCTTGACCTAACTGGCCTCCATGTTCTGAAGGACACTCCTACGTTATCTCGCTTATCCCTGTTACTCCTCCTCTCACATCCCCCTTTCCTCCTCTAGATATTTTTCCTCGATTCATTCTCCATTAACCCAGCGCACTATATTGGAGCCAGCTCCCTTTTCCGTCAACATCACTTTCATCTCGTGCACCGAACTGCAGAATAGAAGAAAAATCCGGAACCGGGAATATAAGGCGCATGCCTCGAACCCGAGTACTGCTTCAAGACTTTAAGTACGAACAGACTTGTCTTCTAATTATCTGCTTAAAACACTTGCTAAAAACCGAGGTCAAACTTACTGGCCTATGGCTCCATAGTTTTTGTCTAGGACCTGAATGGAGTATGGTTACCACGGTTGCAGTTTCCCCGTCGCCTGAGAGCCTACTAGAACGTATGAACCCTTAACAATCTTCAGTCACCGGTCCCACTGTTGCACTTGCTAGAGACGAATCGCGAAGGGATACAATCCGTTCGGCCCTGCCACTTGATGCCTACTTAAGGCGTTGAGCTCCCGGATCACGTCGTTTTCATTTATGGCGAACTTTTTTGTCCTTTTATAGTTGGGGTTTCACTGCGGTGGAAAAGTTGCCTGCCTCGCTGCGAGAGTCGCTTCAGTATTTCGAAGACCTATAACGGCACTCCTCTCATTCTTCTATGTGAGAGAGATCACGTTGAGTTCTCTTAGACGCGTGAAAGACGACCGCATCTTAAGGACAAAGA